CAATATCGCAAAATAATTTTAAAATGAACACATTTTTAGAATTTCCGATACGCTGCCTCCCGCGCTGGAGATAATTTTTTTTTTTTTTTTTCCGTACAGTGTTGCCATTGCTCGCCTTGAAATCGTTGAGTTTGTTAATCAAAAATTAGTCAAAATATGAAATACATAATAAAACAAATTCAAAATACAAAATTTAGGCTTCCAGTTGCCCATATTCGGTTGGAGAATTACGTTATTCAAAACTTGATAGCTCTAGGTAGCTTTGTTTTATCACAATGCAAGAAACATACATACATTTACGCAGATTATTCATTATTTAATTTCTTTAAATATAATACAGGGCGATAACATTTGGTGGCAATAATTTGAAAAGCGGTATAGAATTTCAAAGATTTCAAGGCAAAATGCCAAAACGAAATTAATAGCCCTTCTGGGGTAAACGCTCTTTTGGCTAAAAGCATTTTTATGGATTATGAGTTGTCGCATTTTCCGTTTTACTTTTATTTGCTTTATTGGCACTTTTTTACTTGAATAAGATTTAATTCTTACTTTAATTTTAAATCACGAAGACGAATAACGTGTCGGGATAGCTTTTCAGCAATGCGAGATGATCTAAATGTATTTTTTTAATAAGCAATTAAATTTACAATGGCCTTATTTCTTCTAGCGCTGAGAGGAACAAAACACGCTATTCATCCATCTCTCAATGATGAAACCGACTTAATGTTTTAAACACTCATCCCCTAAAAAGTTCTGTTTGAGACATCAAATAGGGAAAATTAATAATTTTTAACCATTTATTTACATTTTCATTAGTTCATTTTGCATTGCTTCTTTAATTTTGAGGTTATTACCAATGTTTTTACTTCCTTGTACGAAGTAGAAAGGAAGTGTTGTAATCGCGAAGAGTTTCAGGCAGCATATTTCAACAAAAGTATCCATTTTGACCGCTATCGAATGCAATTTAGCGATATTTTTGCGTGATATCTGTACGTAAGAACAGAATAAAAGACTCGTTTCCTCCAAAAAATTATAAAACTGCTTTAAAATGAATTCTGAAGAGAATTTTTCGTGGCGTCTGTACGAACGTATCTCGCATAATTCAAAAACGAGTAGCCTCAGAACCTTGAAATTTTGTATATAGGACTGCTATAACATGTGAGGTGCACCTCGTATTTTGGTTGCGATCGGACGCACCAAACGTATATAATATATATATATATAGCCACTCTGTTACCCGCTCAGTGATCTCAGTTTCTTTACACTTATATGTTTGCAAATTGTACATTTTTTGCTTTAAAAATGATTGAATTACATTGTTTTTTTTCTTCCGGTTAAGGTTTTTATGCCTGTAGTAAATCTGTATGCAATATTTTTAGAATTATCAACAATTTTAAAGTTAGTTAAGTGCCGCTAAACCTTTTTTTTTTTTTTTTTTTTTTTTTTTATGGTGGCCATTGATTGTTTATATTTGAAACAGCAGACTAGTGGATTTGTTGCCAATCTAGAGAAACTTAGCTTCGCAACAACAAGATAACGCCTTCATTATTATTGCTAATTAAATCATGCTTAATCCTTTCTGGAATTTTTTCGAGGAAATAGTGTTTAAGATTTACTTCGTAATTTTTAATATAGATATTTTGAGTTTTATGTATTTTTGCCTTGTCGCGAAGTGAGAACTGAATAATTGAATGAGAATGCTAAAGCGTCTGTGAAAAATTGTTTCTTTTTTTTTTTTTTTTGTTTGCTTAATTTCTTTTATACATCATTCTAGCTTTATTACAGTATTTGAATAGAACATGTGGCAACGATTAGATAATTCTATTCTTTAAATGATATAAATTGTGCATTAGAGTTTATAATCTGACGAAATATAATACTGTTAAGTGAATCTAGCGCCAGAGTGTCGCTATGGTAAACAAATACTAGAGAGAATTTTAAAGAATGCATTTATTCTATTGTGGTTTATGCGCTGTTGGCGAAGTAGATTTAATTCAATCCAATAAGTTTAAATGAAATGCAAGAAAAAATGCGTATAATTTAATATTCCGTACAAGGAAGTCATGTGGTGTACACATCAGATTTTTTGTTATAATACTTGCGTATCATACAATACATCTTTTGACCTTTCTATATTTCCATTTATACTTTTGAGACCTATTAAATATTTTCATTGTACCTTCTCCTTAGATAGGATAATCTTAATTATATGCATATATGTATACTTCTGTGGAAGTTGCCCACTCTTGCTTATCAGACTATCACAGAAATAGTCAATGAACTATAGTGATCAAGGTATATCATAAAAGAACATCTACAGCAAACAGAAAAACATGAGCTTCCCTGTATGAGCAACTCCTGCGTGAGCTTTGTGTGGACAAAAAGGTGCAGCATTCTTCCATCTGGCAAACTCAGTAAATAGGGCAGAAAGAACAGTTGTTTATCAGATTATGAAAAATGGATCCCAACATCAAGCACAAAAATGTTTTTTACAAGTCAGTTGCAACACCTGAACCAGGACTCCCAGTCTCAAAACATTTTGTTCTGTGTTTTGTGGAATGACTCAGCAGAAGATTAAGAAATTAGATAAGACAGTTTTTCCTTCAACAGATACTGTTCCAACTGATTATCATTTATTTCCATCTCCAGAACAGAATCATACTGAAATACTGATGAAGTGAAAACAAGTCTCCCGGATTTCTTGCATCTAAACTACTTTCCTTTCACAAAAAGGGTTTTCAGCACTTCATTTCAAAATGATGAACCATTATTGCTAATGACGCTGATAATATTATTGAATGAGACTTTCAATATACAGTCAAAAGTCTTTAATCCGGACTTGTCGGGACTTCGGCGATTCCGGATTATCGATTCTTCCGGATTATAGATCATCAGTTTAAATCTGGTAAGATGGCATGCAGAAATTATAAAATCAAAAATATGAAACCGTCATTTATGAAATAAAGAGCAATTATGATCTAAGGGGTATCAAAATTTTTAAAAGGAAAAGCTTAATATTTATTTGTTTACTTTATTAAACATTTCTTTCAACGCGCGCATGCGTAAAGCACACATTACGCATAGTCGAAATTAGAAAATTGCAACCAGAAAACTATTTGATGTGTACTCCTGATATTTATAATGATAAGGAATTTGATTTAAATCATATCAAAGACGGAATACATCGAGATGAAATACTACATTTAGTAAGGAATTATAAGCTGAATAAAATAAAAACATCTGCCCTGAAGATAAGGATAGTGCTAACAGATCAACTTCTAGTTCATTGCGCGCCGCGACGTCCCCCCCCAGAGCAGCGTGAAATTGATAAACAGATTGTAGAGTTTCTCACTTTGGAATTCTAAGTTAATGTTGGAAGTGAGGAATCTAAGAACTGATAAGCGAATAATCGCTAGAGTTCAGTGACAAGAAACAACAAGATAGAAGGGTAACTAACCCTTTATTATTTCAATAAGATTTAACAAAACTCCGCCTGGGAGTGTACAAGCAAAGCCCGCACTTTTACTTGAACTTAAAAGACTAAGAATTAAACTAAAATTAAGATTAACTAAAAGAAGTATAGCCGAAGCTATCAAGGTTCAGATTGAGGTGGCCCCTTAAATTAATTGACTACGAAGCTTAGCCTGAATACGCCTGAATCATAAGGGCCTGAATACGGCCGTGCGTAATAACAGCTTTGAGAGGGAGAGTGGCCAAAAAGGCAGACGCGCGTAAATCAGAAACTGATTCTCTCTGACTCAGTAAGTAACTTCGTGGTTTAAATACCGCTCCTTCTCAATAAATAGTCAGCAAATTCCAAAACTACGTTCTGGCCGGAAGTAGTAAGTTGAAGTTAAGAATTTGACAGGAAAGGAACTTTAACTTAAAATTTAACTGTTAATAAAATTAACATAAACCTTACAAGATTTCGGAATGGTTAGAGAAACAAAGGATATGTTTTTATCCATTTTTTTACAGCAATTCCACTTTTTGGTTGATGGACATCGAATCATACTTTCTCTTTGTAGATCCTTTACATATTAGTAAATATATATCGGAATTCTATTTGACATAATCGAAAGTTCAAGCTTACTTTTATAAAATTGCTCTAACAGTCAGCAAAATAAGCCGGATCCAATTCGAAGATTAAGGAACAACGCAATCTGCAACATTAACTGAAACAGATAATTAGATAATTTTAGCTTAGCTTATACCGTCCGTTATACATTAAACGCGCATGCGTAAACGTATTATGCGCATGCGCACACGCATATGCACATGCGAAATATTATTACGTTCATACGTAAACGCTTATGCGCATGCGTGAACGCATTATGCGTTGACGCATGCGCAGAAAGTTTGTAGCTTTGAGGTGCGGATTATGGGTGTCCGGATTAACGACTTTTGACTGTATTTCTCTTACCATCATTTAATGACTGTCACTTTTAAATGACATTCCTTTCTAAACAATTTAATTCAAAAAAGTTTCAACACAACCAAAAGAAAAAATGTGCTTCATCTGAAAACCTTGATAGTAATGTATGTGTAAAGCACTTCACTTCTATCTGAAGAAGAACTGCAAATTATATTATTAAAGTTCATAGCTTTCATCAGTGTGAAGAGTCTTGAGATATTCACTATGAATTCATTACTGAAATTGATGCATTTAAGAATAACATTTGAGTTAGATCTGCAAGCCCACTAAATGACACAAGCTGAAATCTAAAATGAAACTTATGACAACAAAATTAATAATGTAATTTCCTCGAATGATCATATTTTCTTGTAAGGTGTATATGATTTCATTTAGCAGAAGTAGTTACAGATTATCATGAAAGACATTTTGATAAATAACATGAATTTTATCATACAATTTTAAAAGCGGAAAGCTGCAAAAATATACATGTAAATAAATATTTACTATGCATATTTTAGGTTGCTACATACTTTTTTCTCTCTCATATAATTTTGACAACAAAAGTAAAAAACATAAGACAAAGTACCATTAATATGTTTTTTTATAGAACGTGTCTTACAAAAATCTAACTTTCTATTAGAGCACTATCTTTATTATTCCAAATCCAATTTCTACCTCAAAATGAGCTAGGATTCACTCTACAACTTATACAACTGAACATTTTCTTTAAAACAATAAATATATTTGAAAAACAAATTTCATTTAAATACACTACACCTGGTGCTTAAAGCAATATATATATGTATCCACATTTTGAATGTTATAGTATTTGTAATAAATTACAAAAAATGAATTAAAATAATAGAAATTAATAACATGAAATGCCATAAAATGACATATTTCTTCTTAAAAGTTTACTTAAGACATTTCAAATGACATGTATCATATTACCACTTCAAATTCAGAAGGATTTCCAAAATGAAATGTACGTGTAATATCCGTAGTTCCATCTCTGAAAGAAACAAATTCCGAAGCATTACACAAAATATAAATTTTAATTGTTTCTAAAGATACTCTAAGAACTGATGCTTACAGGTACTGGCCTCCTGAATCCAAAAGATACATATTTTTTGTATTGATATTTCTATTTGTAAGCAACTGCGGTGTGTAATGAATTATGGCAGCATTTGGTCCAAATGCTGATATGGCAGGAAAACTTTCACCTTGATTGAGTTCCTGTTCTCTAGAAGTTAAAAAATAGATATACACTACATTATTTAAGGCAATATACACATATATACTTTTTATAAATTCCTAGAGTTGCAAAAATTATACAGTTGATTCATAGAACTACCGTTACTTAAAAACATCTTGAACTCTTAAAAAAACAAAAAAAAAAAAAAAAAAAATGTGCATGAACAGGATGGTTAAAAATATCTGGCAGAAACCTAAAAGCAGACAGAGAGGATCAGATCTTAGTGGATTTTACAAAGGAATGTACATGCCAAAGTGGTGAATTGAGGAGTAAAGGGCACTCTGATTTTTAGATAAAAAGGAGTCAGCAGGTATAAATTGCCATTTCCTATGTGAATTTTAAGCAGCTTATATCATTACCGAAAAGAGCAGCTCACAAGCATGCTTTTTATCTATAGCACTGAGGATGAAATGGAGAAGCTAAAGTAAACTGCATACTGGTGAGCTCTGCATTTGTGTCCGAATCCGAACAAGAAATGATGACTAATGCCATCTCTCACATACACCTTGCACCATCACAATGCGCGCATTTCTAGAACACACTCTCCATTATTAAAATCTAATTATTTTGGTTCCCTCTGCACCCCCTTACATTAAGCAGTGCATACAAATATTACCGTATACACTGCTAGCCATTAAAATTGCAACACCGGGAAGGAATGATCTGATGAATGTCAAAATCACATGAAAGGAAGAAGAGGTTGGGATATGCCAAATGATTATTATTTCAGCGCATTTAGACGACAGACGACGCAGGAAGGAGAAACGACATCTGAAGCACTGCATAAAAGAAAAGTTGTGTAGTGGATTTCTCATTATCGCCCGTCGCACTGGTCGACATCCAACCACTGCCATGCGAACGCGGAATCAGTGAGTCGCTGAGGGTCATACTGAACGGCATGCAGAATCTCAACGCCCTACTAGGCTAACGCCAGACAGGACAGACATATTGTGAAGTCAACCCAGCAAAACCGTACGACTACATCACGGTCCATTAGTCAGGAAATGGGCATGTTCGGAGCACGCCCAGTATCAGCTCGTACGTTGCGTCGACGTTTACAGCAGCGTGGACTATCAAACACAGCGACCATTACTTCGTCTTCCCGTGACAATGCAGCATAGAGGGAGACGGCATTTATTGTTCGCCAAATGACAAAGCTTGACACAGGAGTGGCACAAGATCGCCTTTACAGATGAGTCCCGGCTCTGCATGCAATATTCTGATGGCCGTATACGTGTCTGGAGTGTCCGAGGAGACCGCCCGTCGCCTGCTTGCATTCGACATCAGCACAGGGGTCCTGCACTTGGTGTGATGGTTTTGGGCATCAACTAGGTACACGACACGCACATCTCTAGTTCAGATCGATGACAATTTGAACGCAGATCGATACATTTCTGACATCTTACGTTCAAAGGTTGTGCTCTGTCTTCGAGGCCTGCCATCTTTCACTTGATAATGCAAGCCCGCAGGTTGCACGTCGTGTTCTGACCTTCCTCGATACACAGGGTATTCGATTGCTGTCCTGGACTGCGCGGTCTTTAGATTTGTTACCCACTGAAAACATTTGGTCGCGAGTTGTTGAGAGACTAGCCGGCCACCCCTCTCCTAGTTAATACGGTTGATGAAGTGTGGCATAGATTTCAAGCAGCATGGAATGAGTTACTCGTTTCTATCATCCAAGCCCAATTCGACTCCATGTCTAACCGGGTAAGGGCCGTTTTAGCTGCCAGGTGTGGCAGCTGTTTTCACTAATTTTGCACCCCTGTAAATCCCCAAACTGCTTACAAATTTAATGATTTTGTCTTCATGTCATTCTGTTTATGTACAATAAATATTTTTTTTTTTTTTTTATTTGCTTTCCTTCATGGTGCTGCAATTTTAATGGCCAGCAGTGCATTTAAAGATAAAATTAAGTTTTCAACCATCTGCATTTATAACTATAAATATGAATAAATAGGAATTAGAGAAATTTGTAATAAAAAAATTTCAATTTCTCTCGTTATTTAGCTTAGAATACTTACTTTTTTTAGGAGAAAGCATTTTTACCACAGTTTTCAACAAATGGAAGATAATACAACTTTTTGCACTTATATCCTATCACAGAAATTACTTTACTTCATAATGTTCATTTTCTGATTAATTTTTTGTTATCCAATCTCCCCTACATTTTCAGCGATTCTTTTTTTTATCTGAATGTATAATATTCATTTACCTTAACTTATTATTTCAATTATTAATATTTATCTGAATATTATATAATAAAAGCCTGATTATTCCAGCATTCAATCAACCGGAAAGTTACCGGAAAATTATAGAATTTTAGAAAAAAAAATTAGTAAATAAGAGATTTATAATGTCATTATAGAGCTTATAACACTATTAATACGTGTACACTGTCACCAAACAGTCAGATTTAGCGCCAATAATGGGTAAGCATGATATCCAACACAATCATAAGAAGTTCGTTTTGGTTTAAATGTAAACCCAATTAATTCTCGATAAGATAATTTAGTTTTTGCAAATAAATAAATAAATAAATAAGGTTATATTTTTTAATCCCATTTTGAAGGAAAAAAAATTAACATTTGGGACTGCAAAGAAGTGGAGTATTTTCAAAGGTACAGAGGTAAAGGTGAGAGGCATAAAAAAAAGCCACGATACTTTGAAAACGGATAAAACAATGGCGATGTAACGTGATAAATTATGATACGCGATTTAAGTCTTTTATACGTTATATAACAGTAATTTGTATCTCTTTATTATCTAATAGTTTTGACTTCTACCGGAATGACTGCTATGTCTCTGCCAACTTTCATGTTCGGCAGGGTTTCATAACAATCAAAATACGTTGCCTTCCATGACTGGAAAAAAAAATTAAATGTCCCTGAGTTCATGGACTAAACTTTAAGCGTAGATATAATACACATAAACATTTTTTGTACAGCAGTGTGGGGTCGGAAATGAGGGGAAAATAGCCGCTCTTTATCTACGTAGAATAAGTGCTGAAGCGTCCGACCATTAACAGTGATAAAATCCTGGAAGCATCGATTCAATCCTTTATCTACATACAGTAAGTGCTGAAACATGAGATCATTCATTAACAGCAATAAACTTCTGGAAATGACTGTTCAGTGATCAAGCTACACTGTAGCTGGTACGGGGCTGTGTCACAAACTGTTACGCTGTATGTATTTTTATAAAAGGTTTTCAGAGCAAACGATATACAAGTTTAGTGATATAGCTTAAGACGAATTTAAGACGAATTAAGACGAAGACAATCAAAAGTTAGAGTAAGTAATGTGTACAGCAAGGAAAATTTCCCCACGTTCCCAGAAAATAATACTGGAGACTACAAAAAGCACAATGAAACCTCCATTACAGACTGACTCAAAATACAGTTTGCTAAACTAACGATTTCTTCGAAAAATTTAACAAACCAAAGACTATTATGCAGAAACTAAAAATAGGCATGGCTGCCCTAGATTATTTCATGAATATTAATCTTCAGTTCTAAACTCACTGTGCTAATTTGAAATTACTCCATACAGATGTAGGGTGTAAATATGCATGTTGCTTAAATTATTCTCGCACTTTAATGTAAACTATTTTTTGACTGCAGAGAATTCAGTTCGATCGCAGCCAATAGATGGAGGTAGTGTGCTGGAGTCCCTTCTGTACTCAAGATCACTGACAATTACCTTTGCCTCTTTCCTCGCTTTCGGATGAAAGGTGTATCGTACGTTTTAACTACCATGAGACCATGAGAGACCCTAATGACGATATTTGAAATTCTGGTGAAAACTCTATGTAGTTCAGGCCAGTATCAGAGCGATGATCCAGTGGTTGAAGCTAATCCAAGCACCAGTACAAGATTGACTGCATTATTTACAAGCATGACAAAAAACACCGTATGGAAAATTTTGCAAGAGGAAAAATTTTTCCATACCACTTACAGAGGTGTTTCCCGCGTAGTACATTCATTCCAAGCCTCTCCGCAAATGTACTTTTCATAGATGAGACCACCTTTATGCGAGGCAGAATTTTTAATTTGCACATTTCCCATGCACCTATAATCCACATGCTATACATCTGCATGTTTTCCAGAAGCAGTTCTCTGTGCGGACAGGTATTGTGAATGTTTTTCTTATTGGCTTATACTTGCTATCATATCGACTCAATGGGACGACACATCGAATCTTTCTGGAAAAGGTATTATTGGAATTACTTTTTAGTGTCATATGGCATTTCGAACGTGATTTCAGCACGATGGGGCTCCAGCCCATTTTCGCAATAATTTGCATAATTCCTCAATGCCACCTTTGGCCCTCGATGGATTGGATGAGGTGGACTCGTTGCTTGCCCAGTACGTTCACCAGATCGATCAAGTATCGATTTTTTCTTATAAGGACACTTTAAGGCACCTGTCTGCGAGACTTCAATTTATTTTGATGAGGACCTCATTAGAAAAATTTCAGTCGCTGCTGCAACTTTCGAAAGGGCACGCCAGTCGCTTGTCGGATGCAACCAGGTTTGTATCGATGCTGTTGGTGGCACATTTGAGCACTTACAATAATATCATGTAAATAAAGAGCTTTTTTTTATTTTCTCAACATTTCCTGTTTTTTCGCCTAGACTTCTAATTTCCGACCTCACACTGTTATATGTTAAAAAAATGCTTCTTTATATATATTTTATAAGTATTCTTTATATGTACGAATTCTGTTCATAGATGGATGATTTTAGTGTAATTATATGTGAAAGTCTTGTATTTTTTTTGTATAATGTAATATGAAAATAGAACATGAAAGGCGTTTTTTCAACGTTTTCTGGGCTATTTTTATTTATTAAATATCATGTTCTTTGCACTTAAACCATAAAAATTCAGTTCAACAGCAATGTCGCAAAATAATTTTAAAATGAGCATATCTTTAGAATTTCGATACACAATTCGCGCTCTGGAAATAAAAAAGGGTTTTTTCCCCCGTAAA